TGATTATCGTCACTATACAATAACAAAAAAAGTTGTCCTAAATTTGAGCTACTTATTTCCCCAAGAACCACTCTATGTCAACAATGAACGCTCAACCATCTCTCAGACCTGGCAACCTAATTGCATTGGAAACAGTGAGAAAGATGATGAAAACCGTAGCAAAATGTAAAAAAATAAATAAATTTAAAAAAAGGCTGCAGCAGAACAAACGCACCCGTCTCGGTTTCCTGCCAGGTCAGCCGTACAACACCCAGACACTGGAAATGACTCTGGCTGGTGCTCGAGCTGACAGGTTCTCTGTCAGAAACACAGAAACTAAAGCCGTCAGCATTTCACCACTGTAAGATGACAAAACACACTCGTCATTCTGTACGATGGTCAAACTATTGGTGGCATTTTCACGACACTGCCATGAGATGTCATGACTTACCCTGTTTCATTAAGGCCAAGTAGCCAGTTACACAGAAGGACGGACTAGTTCCAGACAACTTCCAAACGTGTTGCAAATTAATTGTCAGAATATGAAATGTCGACAGCGTCGTGTTACCGCCCTGCTTTGAGGTTGCGTGCTTAACGTACCAGCCAAGTTGTTCCAGGACAAAAATAGCAGAGTTTTGCTTCAACTATAGTTAATGTTCATTTTGAAACATTTTCTGTCACCGCTGCATATTTTGCGTATCATTGTTCCTCACAATAATACTTCGCGACTGTTTTCTTTTAATTAGGAACGACAAAAATGGTGGGTTACACAGCAGGCTTGTGATGATGATCAAATGATTAATTTCTGCATGTTTACTATAAGTCCACCTTTCACCTTACCCTCTTTCCTCATCCCGCCGCCCACGCACAAACAAATGAGAGCAAACAGCAGTACTGTAAAGGACACGCAGCTTTACTAACAAAACAAAGGATCTGAGGCTGTAGCAACATGGCCTCATTTCATGGGAAAGCGTTGCCCATACAAAAAAAAAAAAAAAAAAAAAAAAAAAAAAAAAAAAAAAAAAAAAAAACACAAAACGTATAGGGGTCACAGCTTGTGACGAATTCCAGATTTTACTGGCCACCGAAGTCCTCCAGTAGGGCAAACGCATCAAGGGAAATGCACTCGTTCTGTATCTGGACATTGGTCCAATATGCCTGGCTGGCGTTACAAGATTGGTTGTCTCTCCTCTATTTCCTGTTCATTGCCCTGCAGCCCACTATCTAAAACTAATTCAAACACTGAGGAGGAGGGCAGTCACTTGTGGACTGAACCACTCAGTTGTTGGTGGGGATAGATATGAAACTGGCTAAAAGCAGAGTTACACTGTGATGTTTCTGAATGAATATCTGCATGATTATTGGTCCACGACCAGACTCAGCTTCACCAATGTGCAAAATAGTGATGTCTCATTCAACCTTTTCAACAACAATAATCTACACTATTTCTGTTGTTTAGTATTATATTCCTGATCTTATTTAGTCATGCTGATAGCTCTCTCTTTTATATATGATCCTTACCTAAATTTCATATTCTTTTCCTTGTCCATAAGTCTAAAGATGACCACACTGGTTTGGTTCTTCACGTCTTTTACTGTAAAGTGAAAAAGCACTTCCTAAAGCAGTTAATTCAGACTGTACAGTCATAGGTAGAGGTGTCACTTTACCCATGCCAGTTCATACTGTATGCTAATGTGGAACATGTTAGCATGTAAAGACCAGTAGGAGGAACAGGGCATATGGCCAGAATGTATAATCCAGTAACGAATCAATCGTTTTCGTAATCATACCTTTGACGGACTGAAATTCTATCGTCTCACTTCGCCTAAGCAGGAGTGCATGAAACCCCGCAGGAAAACGATCAATTTTCTCACCCACAACAGAAAACCCTCTCAGTTGCACTTCATGCCCATTAAAAATTCCTCTGAGTAGAGATAGTAATCCAACATCAATGAAAAGATGGAACAGTGAGCTTATCAAGGTTCCTTTCCATTAAGGTACCAGACATGAAATGATAAGATACGCGATCATCATAAACCTTGATTATTATAAATGTATATATTGGGAGCCTATCTCAGGTTGACCACGGGTGGCCGTGTGTATTAGTGTGGCAGGTAATTGATATATGGGGCACAGACAGGTAATGATGTGGTGAGATCACACGGTTTTTACCCAGACACAGAGGGAGACCAGGAAGATAAGTTCTATCATATTGTATTATCATCTGCAAACTCTAATTAAATGGGAACCTCACCCAAAAGTGAAAGAGCCTGGAATCTCTTTGTTGAAGTGAGTAAGGAACAGGATCTTCTCCCACACCCAGCCGAGTGGCTAGTTGCTGGAATCAGTCACTATACATCCTTTCATGTCAAAACCTTCAGTCCTCCATTCAATATGCATTACACATTCATGAAAGTGCCTGTACGGACAGGTTTATCAATCATTCAGCCATCTTATCACAGTTCCAACAGACAACAGCCACATGCCGACAGTCAGTCTCTTATCGCACTAATCCGGATCATTTCAGTACCGAGCCTGTGAAGGCAGCGGGGATAAATTAGTTTACTCCTACACTGATTGGATTAAAAGCCAGGAGCGGGCCTCGACCCCCTGGCCTCTAACACAACAGCCACCAACTGCTCAGCTTCAATGAACAAGTCGCCTTAAAAAGAAAGAAATAACTTGATGAATTGATTTCACTTTTACTTTTAGCTCAACCTATATTTTAGACACAACATATTGAAATATTAACTCAGCGGGCTTATCCCATAGAAAACCCAACTTCAACCTTTGATTTACAGCCTTTTTACAAGCACTGTTGATTCGCAATGACTCAACTCGCCTGCCGCACTTCAAGACAGCAGCATTTTATACGACAGCTGACTCAATAGTAATCTGGTGCAGGTTAAATGTGAGCCTTGAAGCCCACGGACTGCTTTGCAACCCTGGAGAGTTGACCCATCTCTGCCGCAGCACGTTATTGAAGTGGCAGTTGGAGCCGTCAAGTCTGCTCGCTGCCCGAAATGAAGCTCTAGACATCATATTTGTGTCTTACATGTCCCGCTAACAGACACTACACGCTCAATGAAAACTCATAAGGACGTGTCCCACTGCAGCTTTATAGACACAAGTCTAGAAAACAGAGCGTTCCCACTCTGCGGTGAAGGAAAGTGAATACAGAAGCTTGGCTGTCACACGGTGACAGGCCCACGTTAGGAGCTGCAGCAGCAAAGCTTCGATGGACAAATACACAATATGACAGGCAAACGAAACTACAACCTGTGCAAGCTGAAATAAAATGTAAATGTATTAGGGCCAAGTCTGCTGAGACACAGTGAGCCGCAACTCACCCTGTTCAATCATTTAGGGTTTAAATAGGCCCACGTATTGTAGAAGAGGGGAGAATATTACCTCTCCACGGGGGGTAAATGTGTTCGATTGTAATAGTTCACAGTGGCCGACAGCACCATGGGGACAGTGTGGAGATGTGGACCAAGTGAGTCTATTCTGACAGCTACTTAACCTCCAGGCTGGCCTGGATCACAGGATGGGGAGCCTCATTTAATTTCACATGGCCTGTGAAGTGTGTGAGTGTTTGTGTAAAGGAGGAGGGAGTAAGAGAGGAAAAACACGACAACGAGTGAAAGGATATCTCAAGACAAATAGAGAGTAAGAAAAAGGAGGGAGAAAAAATAGAGGTAAAAGAAAACTCACAAAACATCACAGCAGTATTTGACAGCGAAGGAGACATCCTGCCATGTGTTGAAACGACTTCCTCATTCTTGCTTATTCAAGTCCATCCAGTACCTCACACCCCCCTCCTCAGGCAGCTGCCGTAAAGGCTCAGACTTTGAGGCAGTGGGTCACAGGGGCAGGAACAAGATGTGCAACCACATTTTTTGCAAACGCATTCATGCTCTGGTTATTGTGAGCTTTTTGTTTTAAGGTTTCGTGCTCTGCTACAGTGGCCTGGAGGACCCTGCATGGGTCTGCAGGAAAACCCAGGATCTCCCAGCAAAATGGGGAAACACCCACAGGGAGGGGAGAAACAACAGGCTGGCTGTAGAGTCTGACATCATCCAAGTGTGGGCTTTCAATGTTTCTGCAAAGTCTCATATGTGTTTGAGTGCATGAACAAACAGTGAGTATCTCTATCACCCCCCTCACTCGGCACAACTGTAGTTTTCCTCTGTAGCTATGGACAGACCTTCATTATCTTGAGTTTCTGCTGCTGCTGCTGCACCACACACACACACACACACACACACACACACTCACACACACTCACACACAAAACGCTGCAGCTCACACACCATGTAGAAGCAGAGAGATGAGGGGGAAGCATCGGTCATGGGCTGTCATCCAACCAGACCTTCCCTCTGCTGCAGCCCTCTGCTGCTTCACGTCAAACACGCTTATTACAAGCACACAAAAATAAGACACCCATCCCCTTTCCGTCGTTAATCAGGCCGATCCCAACATCTACTGCAGAAACAATCCCACATCTTAAATGGGATCGCATTCAAATCCACACACAACAACCAGAACAGCACTGGCTGGAGCGTGACAAATATATATAAATATATATATATGCCTGCAAAGTTGAAGGACACGAGAGATATGAGGCATTGTGTGAACGCGGGGCAGAGTGTCTGAAGGCTAGTTACAGTAAACGGCGGGGCAGCGCCAGCGGGGTGTTGATGGGCTTCAAAAAAAAAAAAAAAAAAAAAAAACCTGCATTGCCTCTGTCAAAGCTCTATAGGTCCCACCGTGGATTAAAACAACCACACCACACCGGGTCATGATACATATCGTGACTCATCTAGTGCCTCACCTCTTCGTGAAGCGCAATCGGAAGAAAAGACATGAACGGAAAATCTTGGGGCTAGTTAGCTTTACTTCCTTAGCCAAATCAGCCGCCACCACCGCCGCTTTCTCTCTCCGGTCCAGCCCGCCTGCCCCGGTCCTACACCTCTCTCTCTCTCTCTCTCCCCCGTGCGCACAGACGTCCTGGGACTTACCGGTCTTATGTGCTGATGGTGTCGCTGTGAAGAGACAACAAGTGCAGGGAGGCTGCCGGCCCCCGCTCCGCTGCTCCGGGACAACAGGAGCACCGATCTGCACACTTTCGCAGCCATCTCTGTAGTGAAAACCTCGCCGGGAAGGAGACTGCTGCGGGCGGACCGAGACGCACCGAAGGGAAGAGGGAGGGTGGTGGGCGGGTTTGCGGGGCTGGACTACGGCTTCGTACACATGCCCAGTGTTGCACCAGTATGCAAAGACACACCACTTTCGTGCCGGCTAAATCCAAACAAGCATGCACAGACTGCATGTCATTTTGTCGCACCGACCAAAAAAAAAAAACACCCATAACTCAGCCTTTGTATTGCAGGTCACGAAAGCGTGATTGTCATCCAAGATTGTACATTAATCACAAGTGTGCACACATGTGGCAGTGAGCATAAGGACAGTGGCCTAAAGTGGTGTATTTGAAAGTACAATGAGTAAACGTGTATTTTCACCGCATTTCAGGTCACCAAATATAATATTAAATACAAAGTGAAAGAAATGAAATCAGGGCTTCCTGTTTCAACACCGTATCTACAATCTCTATGTCAGTGGGAGAATTGCAAGATACATGAGGTGAACCCAACAGTTATGTGATATTATGTGGTATTGTTATATGAAACAGCTGGAGAAAAAAAAGCAGGCCTTCCCTCAGTATTAGTTACCACAGTACCACAGGCACAGCTGTCACTCCCAGTAGTAAAATAAATACAGGAGATCAAAACACACTGCTGCAAACTCAGTATTGAGTTACTTTTTCAGTTTACATTTTTTAAAAACCCTACTAAATTATTACAGGGATTGCTCCAAAAAAACGTACAAACTTAAACTCCCGAGCAATATCTGTCTATTTAAAAAAAGTTATCAGGTGCATACCCACATGCTCAACCGCATCCACAACAAAACTTGGCACTTACAGAGCTGACGTCCACTTAAAAGGTTTACAACTATCTTGAAAGACACCGGCAATATAACTTCTAAATATGTTAGGCGACATCTTGGCAGACATTGTTGTCACTGTCCCCACCACCTATTCCTCTATAACCATGTCTAATATTAGCTCGTCCTTCAGTCACTCTTGTGTATATGTCCCAAAAGAGCAGCATACAGGATCACATCTAATTGCAATGATCTTCAGTGACTTTTAAACAGCACGGGCGACTGCCTGATGTACAAGCATTTTTCAGTGCGTCTGTCCCAAAATGGCAGATCATGAGGGTGAGCAGTCAAGTATGATGCATTTTGTTTTCTCCAGAATCAGTCAACCACTGCAAATGTAGGTAATAGGAGTGTTAATGGGTCCGTTGGGTCAATGAATGTCAAGGAGACACCCCAAAGTGGAATGTAACATGTTCTCCTTAATCTTTGACCCAGCCTGTCGTATCATACCGCCTGCCACACCTGTAGTGGTCAAGGGAGAAACCAGATAGCATATCCAACAGTAACTCTTGAATTGTTGATATACAATAGCAAACACATTTTGTAACTTTTACTGTATGATTCACAGGATAACATGCCTTCATATCATGGCTCAAGCTTTAGAGACTAAGAAATGCACAAATAAGAAATAAGATTAAGTCAATTTGGTTGTTTTCTTGTTGTTTGTGCTTGTCTTGTTTGTTTGTGAAACGCAGTAGTAACATGTCACTGCTCTAGAACTCATCCCAGTTCCTTCTGTACTTCTTCAGGCGCAGTGCATCGAGCTGTGTGGGCGATGCAATTTAAATGCAAATTCACAGCCATGGACACAGCCTCGAGGCGGCATCGATTCTCAAAGCGAATCTTTGTGTGGTGCCAAATACTACCAGGCACTGGTTTACATAAACTTTTACTGTATACTGCTGTAACTGTACTATGACAGTGTGCCTGTGCATGTGGTATGCCAGCACTGCAAACAAGAGAAGCTGCAGTAAGGTGAAAAGATTCCATCAAGTCATTTAAGATATGTGAGGTTTTGCATGATTTACAACGTTAAATCAGTGTAATCAGCTCACAAAAAGAAGCTATGCACAGGGCAATTACTTATATCAGACCTCAATATCAGATGATTACAGCAGTTGGATTCTGTTCAATTCTCCTCTTACTACTTTTCATGGGCAAAAAAGTCATGAAAAACACGAACAATCCGTCTCAATACAGTACTAACTGCATGACTATTGTTATATAAAATATAAAAATAAAATCAGCAATTTCCCAGCATAAGGATAGACAGTAACAGTGCAGATACACAACAATAAGATTAAACACTGGGGGCGCCAATATTCAACTACTATAGTAAAATAACGAGAGCAATTCCCAATTATATTCCAGTTAATTGTAGACAGACACTGATTTTAAATTCAAATTGTGTCTCATGAATTATAGTTCAAATGTATTAATGTTCTAAATTATGCAATCATGCCAATATGAGCATGGCAAATTTACATGAATCTACATTTATGTCATTCAAATGTAATCTTTGCTGACACTAATCCTTTTTCACACTTGTCTACAGACTGTGAAAACAGAACTGCACCCGCTTCTCAGAAATCGATGAATTGAGCACGAAAAGTGGTGTGCACATGTGTGTGTATGTGTGCGTGCATGTCTGTGCATGCATGCCTGAAATGTCTCCTAGCAGCATAAAATAGCCCCTCTCATTGGTCTATGAAAAAGGCAATGCCCAAAGCAAGCATGCGTGGGTGTGTAACTATTTCATCACACCACCAATCATATACTACGTCTTGTAAACACAGGCCTAATCAGGCAGTGTATGCTGCCTTTCTTTTTTCTTGCTTACTCTTACACATATGACGGCTCACAGACACCACACAGCAATACAACGACTGAAACTTGAGCCTGCTTTTGTCTGCACGTCTTAACTTGAGCCATCTTTCACCATTATATAGTGGTACAGCTTGTGGATCAAGTTTCACCGTAGTTTTCATTCTACAAAGCAGCTCAGCTGCGGAAAGATATTGGGTGCACAGAAACACAGAAGCTAGCAATCCCATATGGATTAACAAGTGTGTTCTTAATGTAGCACTCAAGAGTGAGACACCCTCTTCGAGTAAACACAAGTCACTGTAGCAACACTGTCATTATGTACTAAAACAGTTGAGCAGAAGAGGCTCTTTCGCATGCCTCTCTTATCACCTGTGCCACCTTTGCACCGCCACAATAGCAGGATGGATGTAATCGGAATGTAATGCTATTGTTAGGATTACCGTTGCAATGCAACACGAAGACTGCAGGGTAAGCAGTTACCTTATATGCATAACCTTCAACCCCAAATAAAGTCAGACAAATGGGAAGCACCGAGTGGAAACTTCAGTATGAGAAAGCGGTGGTCTCATTTAAGGTTTACACGACTCAGTTAGTTGATGCCTAACTTCTAATAAGCCAGGACACTGAACCCGACACCATGAAATGACACCCTGGCCTTGGTGACAGATTTCAAAACACTGGTCATGAATACTTTAGCAGCTATTATTTTCCAACTTGTTCAGACTGATTATCAGAGTATGTATTTTGCATGTGTGCCAGAGTGATGGCCTTTGAGGTGCTGATTAGTTCCAATTTCCAAACCACTATGTCTTCAGGACAATTTAAAGAACTGATCTGCATTGTGTTATGCATATTTATGAGAAAAATAAAAGACTGACATAGCGATTATGAACGAGATGAATGGCTTTGAACTAGATATGCACTGCCATTACACCTAGACCGTGCTGAGGTTATTTACTGATGTTAAGCTATTCAAATTCAATATGAAATTTCAATAGTTGACAATAACATATTGTGTGGCCCTTTTGATAAATTGCTTGCATTAATGAACCCTGCACTGGAGGGCTCCAGGCACAGTTAAGTATTCTCCCTTATTAAAAAAGGAGGACGAGAGAGAGAAAGAGAGAGAGAGAGAGAGAGAGAGAGAGCGATATTCAAATTTCTTTAATAGAAGATGGTGGAAAAAGACAAAGAGATTAGTAAAGACAATAATTTGTAACAAGGTAAGCAGAGATATTTGTTGTGATTTATGTATTTTATATATTTGTGCTGTTCTATCAAGATCAATGATTGCCTACACTTCACTGATACTTTACTGAAAACAGTAACATATGAAGCAACTATAAAAATAGCAAACAAGCTCACAGAAAACTGCAGATGCATCCTGACCTTTTTGACCACAGGCACATTTGTTATTGTGACAGGTGTATAGATTGAGCAATATATAGACAGAATCCTTAGATTCTGTCTATATATTCATCAGCACATGTTATGCCTAAATGCAAAAAAAAATCGTATTCTCATTTCATGTTTATAAACATTCTGTAGTTCAAGAGAAGTTAATCTACCAAAGTGGGATGACGTTAACAGAATTCTGTTGTTATAAACAGCATGCTAAATGAGGAGTCAGACACTGAGCAAAGAAGGTGCATGGCTGTTTCCAATGTGCCTCCTCCTGCTTTTAAAACTCAAGAACTGTGCATTCACTGCTGAAAAGCATTGTATTATATCTTTACTTTATTCATAACCTCATTAACATTAATATGGTTACATTAAGCTGAAATTTGACCTGCACTTACACTGGATGTGACAAGTCACTGCAACTTGCAGTCTTCTATGACACATTCCCAGTCGACTCAGAAGCTCCCCAGCTTTTCCTTTCACATTATGCATTCAGACCAGCAAATATGTATTCAAGGCAATAATTAGTGGCACACAGCGAAGAGGCAAGTCATTTCATTTTGATGCATTTTTACACTGGAGCTCTTTCAAGGCATGCATGACTGACAGCAAAGACCCCTTTTCTCCCAGTTCAATTTAGTTATGTTATTGAAATGAATATTTTTTTAAATCAGAAATAGAACTGCCAAAGCTGTATAAATCCAAAACCTACTGTCTATTCATTCAAAACAAATGCTAATTATTCTATAATAGTTTCATTATAGTTTATCCTATTTCATTTATTTAAAAAACCCATACCATACAATACAATGGCATGCCAATTAGTCAATAATAACAGATTGGATTTATATAGTTCAATGTGCTTTTAGAGAACACTTTTATTCATATCGGTAGCTGTTTTGCCTTTTGTTGATGACCAACATTTGAGACATATTAAGTATTCAGCTGTGGTGAGAGACTGTGCTGAATAGGAG